GTCTTCTATTATGAGTGATTCAATGAAATTTGGAGTTGACAGTAATAATCTCATAATGTGACATACACTAAATCAATTTAACAAAGGTGAAACATAATAAAAATCTAGAACATAGGCCTGGCATTTTAAAAATACATACTTACAACCAATCACAGGAGTTCAATTATTCTGGCACATTCTGTTCACATATATTAGTGTGTGTAAAATATACACAAAATAAAGATTTCAACCTCAGTCATGTAGTAAGGGCTGAATATGAGCCAATCACCAGGGACAGTAAAGCAAAGGCTCTTTATGCCATTATTTAATTATAATCACCAAGGGATATAAAGAAAACCCATTTTCTTCAAATGGAGTGGGTTTTATTTCAAAATATTTCAACCATTTATTTTCCCCATTTCTATAGCTGCCACTCTGGACAAAGCCACCATCTCTTCTTATCTGATTATTATGACAGCTTACTACTTGGACACCCTGCTTCTGCCCTGGTCCCCCACCTCTATTTGCCATACAATAACCACAGTTGTGCTTTTAAAATGTTAAGTCACTCCACTCTCTCCCATCCATTGGCTCTCATATTGGTCAATAAAAGCCCAAGTGTTTTCCATGACCTCAAATGCCCTACAACTGCATCATTCATAATGCCTAAGAGTTTGCTAGAAATGTTCTCAGGCCACATTCCCAATCTACTGAATTACACACTCTTAAAGTAGGCCCCAGAAATATTTTAACAAGCCCTTCAGTTGACTCAAATGAAGGTTAACATTTGAAGACCAATGCCTTATAGGACCATACATCCTACCTACCTCTCACTACCTCTTTGACTCATCTTCTGCTATTTTCCTTTTTGTCTACTTTGCTCAGTTCCAGCTAAAACAGGCTTAAATGTACCAAGTTGACCCAAGCTCAAGTTCTTTGCATACATTTCTACTTCTGCCCAGAAAACTCTTCAGTGATATCCATGTAGCTTATTCTTTCACATTCTTTAGATGTCTGTACAAATACCAACTTATATAGAAGCCTTCCCTGTCTATCCTACATACAGAATAGTAAGCCCTGAATCTAGAACTTCCTTTCCTTCTTACCTTGTTTATGTTCCTCCATTGCATGTATTATCTCCTGATATGTAACATTTATCTGTTCATAACCTGTCTCATCCACTAGAATGTAAACCCTTTGTTATTGACAAATAATCAGCATCAAGAATGTTTCCTAACACAGAGCAGACACTCCATAAATACTGACCGAATAAATGAATGAATGAATTCACCTCCCAGGTCTGAAAAGGAGGACCTAGGGGTCAGACCAGCACGTGACCGTAACTTAAAAGTCTAGAAAACACTCTCCTTTCTAAAAGCATATTTCTCTATGGCTTTCCTATAGCATAGATTCTTGTAGCATTAAGAATTGAGTCTCCCTAAAGAGTTTATTAAGGGAAAATGCATTTACCTAGTTAAAGCAATAACAGAGATATGTGTTTCCTAATTAAGCTCATTGTCATTCACATCACATAGGACATAGAATATGTGCCATATAACACATGGGCTTTTCTTTGGAGAAGGTAAGGAGATGATTGAAGGGTTGCAGAAAACGCTGAGAACTTATGGTACAGACCATGCTGATAAAGTTATTAGTAATAGTCAAGAAAAAAGATCTATTAAAACAGAGTATGGGGCTGCCAAATAAAGGAAGTTTATCAAGCTATGCAAACAATTCTTTCATGGGTACTGCTGTGGATATCATGAACTTGGGGTGAACAGTTAATATATTAGGTGCCAGAATCAGAATTCTAAGTGAATGGACAATAGACAAAACATAATTTGAAATTAAGAAATCAAAAGTGTACAGGGAGCAGAATGTAGTTTAACAGTTTTATAAGGTTATGTTTTGTGGCCATGCCAATAAAGGCTTTGGACACCCTTAGGATATGTGATCCACTGGATTAAAAGAGTCATTCCAGATCTGACACAAAAGGACACTTTCACCTACAAAACCTAAATTGTTGGAATTATAGTGCCAAAAAAATTTCAATTATATCTAAGGCATAAATATAATGACATCTTTAAAACTTCAAGAGTCATTAGGGAGGTGACACTAAAATCAGAACTGCACATTATGGACAAAAGCACTGTTCAAAAATAACTTTGCCAGGGGGTTGGCCAAGATGGCCAGCTGGAAGCAGCTAGTCTGTGCTGCTCTCACAGAGAGAAATGGAAAAGGTAAGTAAACGCAGCACTTTCAACAGAAATATCCAGTTACTCACATTGGGACTCACCAAGGAAACAACTTGACCCATGGAGAATGGAGAAAAGCAAGACAGAACGACTGCTCTCCCAGGAGCAACATGAAGCCAGGGTAACCTCTTCCACCCAGGGAAGTAGGGATTTGAGGCAACTAGGTACTGGGGCAATGGCCCAGCACAGACCAGCAGCTCTATGGAGAAGCAGTAAGACTGCTTATTCACATGGATCCTAAATCCCATTCTCTTCGCGGGGTGGAATCTCCCAACTGCAATCTCCTGTCATTCACACTGGCATTTTCCAGCCAACAGAGGTTTTACACCTCCCTGGGACGGGGCTTCCAGGGAGAGTGGTGAGCCATCTTCTTTTCCATTTGGCAGTCTTAGCCATTCTTGCCTTTAGGCTTTGGAAAGCCTGAGATGACTGGGGGCTGGAGCGAACCCCCAGCACAGCACAGCTGCTCTATGAACAAGTGCCCAGACTGCTTTTTTACATTGGGTCCTTGATCTCGTTCCTCCTCACAGGGCAGGATCTCCCAACTGGGCTCTCCAGCCACCTCCTGCAGGTGCATTCAGGACAGCAACAGGTCCATACCTCCCTGGGACAGTGCTCCCAGAAGGAGGGACAGGCTGCCGTATTTGCTGTTTTACAGCCTTCACTATTGATGCCTTCAGGTACTGGAAATCCAACATGACTAGGGACTAGAGCAGACCCCCCAGCATATTGCAGCAGCCCGACAGAAAAGTGGCCAGACTGTTCGTTACATGTGTACCTGATCCCACGTCTTCTCACTGGGTGGGTCCTCCAGGCCTGGGTCTTAAGCCACCCCCACCAGGGCTATTGATCCAGTAGCAGCTATCCTACTCCCTGGACAGAGCTTCCAGTGGGAGGGATGGGTTGCCATATTTGCAGTCTAACCATGCTTTCCCTTGCTGTCTCCAGGCACTGGAGAGTCTATGAGACCAGGGGCTGGTCCAGAGCCCCAGCGCATAGCAGCCACCTCACAGAAAAGTGGCCAGACTGTTATCCACACAGAACCTCATCCTCAGTTCTCCTCACAAGGCAGGGCTGCCCAACCTGGGACTCCAGCACAACCACCCTGCCCACATAGGGTGGTCCTCAAGGACCTAGAAATAGAAATTCCATTTGACCCAGCAATCCTCTTACTGGGTATGTACCCAAAGGATTATAAATCATTCTATTATAAAGACACATGCACATGTATGTTAATCGCAGCACTGTTTATAATAGCAAAGACCTGGAGCCAACCTAAATGCCTATCCATGAGACTGGATAGGGAAAATGTGGCACATATACACCATGGAATACTATGCAGCCATAAAAAACGATGAGTTCCTGTCTTTTGTAGGGACATGCAGCCATAAAAAATGATCAGTTCGTGTCCTTTGTAGGGACATGGATGAATCTGGATACCGTAATTCTCAGCAAATTGACACAAGAACAGAAAATCAAATACCGCATGTTCTCGCTCATAGGCAGGTGTTGAACAATGAGAACACATGGACACAGGGAGGGAAGCATCACACACTGGGGTCTGTGGCGGGGGGCCAGGGGAGGGACAGTGGTGGAGTGGGGAGGTTGGGGAGCAATAACATGGGGAGAAATGCCAGATATAGGTGACAGGGGATGGAGGCAGCAAACCGCATTGCCATGTATGTACTATGCGACAATCCTGCATAATCTGCACATGTACCCTAGAACCTAAAGTACAATGAAAAAAAAAAAAGACATGCATGTGGCCAACAAGCATATGAAATAAAAACAAGGTCAATATCACTAATCATTACAGCAATGCAAATTAAAACCATGATAAGATTCCAGCTCACACCAATCAGAATAGCTATTATTAGAAAGTTAAAAAGTAACTGGTGAGGATCTGGAGAAAAGAGAACACTTACACATTGTTCTTGGGAGTGTAATTTAGTTCAATCATTGTGGAAAGCAGTATGGCAATTCCTCAAAGAGTTAAAAACAGAATTACCATTCAACCAACAATCTCATTACTGGGAATATACCAAAAAGAATGTAAATCATTCTACCACAAAGACACGTGCATACAAATGTTCATAGCAGCACTATTTACAATAGCAAAGACATGGAATCAACCTAAATGGCCATCAATTGTAGACTGGGTAAAGAAAATGTGGTGCATATACACAATGGAATACTATGCAGTCCTAAGAGAGAATGAGATCATGCATTTCACAGGAACATGGATGAAGCTGGAGGTCATTATTTTTACAAACACGAGAATGAAAAATCGAATACCACAAGTTCTCACTTTTAAGTGGGAGGTAAATGATGAGAACACAAGGACAAGAGGAGAATAACAGAGACTGGTGCCCATTGGAGAGTAGAGGGAGAGAATCAGAAAAAATTACTAATAGGTACTAGGCTCACCACCTGGGTGACGAAACAAACTGTACAACAAACCTTTATGACACAAGTTTGCCTATATGACAACCCTGCACATGTACTCCTGAACCTAAAACACAAGCTCAAAAAAGACCTAAACTTAAAAAATAAAATAAAAGTATAATTTTTCCAGCCAGATAATCAAACTTTATAGGTCTAATGCACAGAGGATACCTACACACTAAGAGAGTAGCAAATTTGAAATTCGTTTTTACTCCAACATGGTTAGACATCTTGTTTCTTAAAAGATGAAGTCAGTTTTGGACACTGAGAAGAGATAGATGTCATATCAGTTTGGTCAGCTTGAAAATACTGCATGGCTCTATGGACAAAGACCCGATCCCAAGGGACTGGATGGCAGCTCTTATACCTACATCAGGCACGCATTGGAAACAGACAGATGCTTGCTACCAGAAACTTGAGACAGTGATAGAAAATATTATTCCAGAGTCTAGGAAAGAGACCCTTAAATCATGGCTAGAGAATACCATAGACAAAGCATTGGGAGGACTAGAAGGAGAGGTATGCCTCACATACAGGACTGTTTGCAAATCTCTGTCCCAAGAGCTGTTGATAGGCTCAAAGCCATAAAGATGAACATATCGAAGTAGCAGGATCCCACTGCCCCTAAAAGAAAGCTATGCCACCATGAAAAGTGACTGAACTCATATGCCAAATTTATCACCAAATGCTAATGAACAGGGAAGCGTTTATCTTGTCTTCTCACATTATCTGAGAAAGGACGATAATTTGTGATCCATTTGGAACTACAGTCTGAGGCCTGGAAGTCCATAATCATCTGAGTCCACTTTATATGGGGGTCTAGAGACTGTCTGTCATTAATAATCAATATTAGACTTCACTACTTTCCCAAAAAGCTACCCAAATTTTCCTTAATGCTGACTCTAGTAAGAACTGAGGAGATGATTGGTTAATCTCTAGCCAGACAGACTAATCAGACTCAGATATGACACTCTATAGTGGTCTTGGAAAGCTGGAAGTGAGGAGATGTATATCTTTCCCTTGAAGATAAATTCCAACAGCAGGTAGAAAAAGGCTGGTAACTCTCATCATGGTCAAGAAGCCCTCCAGAGCAATCCAGAAGTCCTTGATGAAGATTGTGTCACTTAATTTATAAATTGGAGTGGGGCATAAGTGGAAATAATGTAGCTGTTCCACCATTTCTTCTCAGAAGGTGTGCATATCCAGCATTGTTGGGGTATATTTGTCAGGACAGCCTTTGTTTCTTTCTTTATTGTGTGAAAGAAGGTTTTCCCAAGCTCTTTTCTCTTTTCCAGAGTTAAAACACTAGAAAGGAGACCAAATACCAACAATGCAAGTTTGCACTTTGAGAAGCTCATCAGTCCTCAACCTCAAGGTTTTCAAGAAAGAACTGCAATGAACTCAAGTAGAGTCTACTTAGCAACACCTGCAGAGGAAACTGAAAGATGTATACATGTCCAATAGAAAAAAAAGGGAGTGGAGACAGTGAACTGTAAACAGAGTTCTAGTAATAGAACACCTAGGCTGGGAACTTAATATATGAAGCGATTTAGGTGTTCCGTACTAATATTTTGCAGCCCTTTATAAAGACTGACCCAGCATGAGTGAAACTGGTCAATTATTAATACAGGAAAATTCCCATAACCACAACTAAGGATGTACATGCTACGGGACTCTTCCCTTTTTAAAAGGCAGAAAAGACTGATGCCCAATCCCGAGACACTTCTATCTCTGTGACTGATGGAGGATGAAATAAGTTCCCAAAAACCACCTGGATCATGTTTCCCCAAGGAGGAAGCTCTATAGCAGAGAAAAGTGGAGGGAAACGGTGGGGAAGACCACACTCTAGCTATCACAGACCCCTGAAAGAACATTTTATCTTTGCTGGCTTAGTGTCTTTTTCTCTTCTGTGCTCAGACATTGATTTTTCTTCTGGTTCTTTCAGATTTTGTCTTACAGAATGAGAACACAAGACAGAGTAGGGAGGAAAAAGGAAGACAGACACAAAGTATACAGAGGTGTGATGTGGGGGCATTTTGGAGAGGCGCCAGATTTGGGAGTGTGTAAATAAAATGGAAGAGAAATAAAAGACGTGTTTAAAGTATTACTTTAGGTTATATTATGCCTTTCATGTGGTTAAGCAAATAAGAGAGCTATTCTGAATTACTTTGGGGTTTCGAAATTGTTCCTTTGCCCACATCAGTAAGATTGGATCCATTATTGTACAAACACTATATTCTATTAGTGTTTACACATCTATTCCTCTACTACATCAAAGTCTCCTTGAAGATAGTGGGGTTATGCCTCACACATTTCCATGGTGCTTTGTACACAGAGAGGACTCAGAATTGTATTTGTTGAAAGAATGACAAGTTCTTGATATATGATTTTCTACCCTCAAGGCACTCCAAGAGAGTGGATCCTTCACATTTTTACAAATCCCAAAGAAGATGGTTCCATAGCCTCTGACAATAAATCTGCCTTTAAGTAACCAAGGATTTTCTTTGTGCCTTTCAAACGTTCATTCTAAGTCATTTTCTCTTTTCATCTAAAATCAAGACAGCTAAACCAATAATAATCTTTCAATATCATAGAATTAAAATAATTCAGAATTAGAAAAGAACTTGAAATACTGAAACCAACTCCCCATTTTACCAAGAAACAAATGGGGCTTTTTGTAGTTAAGCTGTTTATTTCCCATGTATAGTTATTTGGTACTAAAACAAGGACTTGAGTTTCTCAACTTCAGTTTCAGAACTATTTGCATACATCTCCTTACCCACTAAACATTACACCTTCTTAAAGACGTGTTCAGTCCACTCCTATTCAGGCTAAATAAGCACAATTGCCCTTGCTGTTCCCATAGTTCCCCATATGCAAAATGTGTGGGAATGGCAAGGTACAATGGACTGAATGTGTCCCCTCAAAATTCATAGGTTGAAACCCTGACCCCTACTGCTATAGTATTAGGAGATGAGAACTTTGAAAAGTTATCAGGTCATGAGGGTAGAGGCCTCATAAATGAAATTGGCACCCTTATTAAAGGGACCCCAGAGAGCTACCTTGCTATCTTTTCACCATGTGAACACATGATGATAAGAAAGTAGTCTGCGACCTCAGAAAGGGGCCTCACCAGAACCCCACTGTGTCCGCACCCTGATCTCAGACTTGAAGCCTTCAAAACTGTAAGAAATAAATTTCTGTTGTTTAAGCCTCTCAGTCTATGGCAATTTATTATAGCAGTCTGAACTGTTACAGACTAGTAGCATAAAAACATAGCTTTAGAGTCTGAAAGGTCTTGATTCTGCTTCTGTAGTGCTATATGATTTGGCATTGGCAAAAGTTTGCTTACCTAAAAAGTGAGTATAATAATACCTATAGCTATGGACACCTATAAGGTACAGAGCTGTGAGCATGGGAGAGATAAAACACCTAACACATCATAGGCCGTGAACAAGTACTGTTTTTTTTTCCCCAAGCCCACACCTATATCCATAGCCAAATAGTATTTATGAAACACTCGGAGGCATGTAGAAGCCTGTGCTGAAACTTACAACTTTAGCTCAATGAAGTAAATTTTGCTGGCAGTTGTAATATCAAGAGATTTAGATACTCTATGCCAAATTAACCATTATTATTAGTTAATAATACTTCTTGGCTAACTCAGAGTCCCATAATACTAATGAAATGAAACCTTCCTTCTATTGGTTTTTATCATGAGAATTTATTAGCATCAAACATGTTCAACAGTCGGGGCTGCAAAGTATTTAATGGGGTCTTACTGGATTTACTTTAAAAATAAAGTTATTTTGTCAGCAATAGAAGTAGAGATTAGAAACTAAGTAACAAACTCCCCTTTTCAAACGTTAGCACCTGATTTACAATGCCATGGCAGCAAGGAGAGCAGATTGTAGATAGGAAGTAATTCGATAAAATAATGGCTGCCATTTTTCTACTGCAATTGGTCTGCAACATAATTTATAGGAACCGTATTTAACCTCTTCTTGATGACAGGTAATAGAAAAAATTTCAGCAGCAAACATTTATAGCATGCTAAGAACATTTGGATCAGTACAACTAATTCATTTTTAACTGTCTCCTCCATTTTTTTTTCAAGTTTTACTCCATTTCATCAAAAAAAAGGACAAAGGTTGATGATTTTTAAAATCTTTGCTCAAAGCTGAAATTTTCAGATTAAAAATAGCAATAAAATTATTATGACTCTATATTGTAAGGAGATTGGTTCATCTGCTACATTGAGATGCTCATAAATTAGTCTACAGTTTATCACCATGAACATTAAAGTATGCAATACAAAATTACATATGCAGCAATTCTGAAATGTGACTCACAGGGTTTTTTTAATTAACACCATGTCCTATTTGTTTCAAATAAATTCTGAAGCTCTTTAAAGTTATCACAGAATGTGAAGTATGATATTTAAGAATAAAAGTGAGATAGGCCATCTAAAGCATGCAGGGTAAATATGACTTTTAAGCCCCTGAGTTGAAAATGTCTTGAATCCTAAATTTAGCTCTTGAGTTTCTGGAGTCAAAGAATGAAAATAATAGACAACGGCAATAACTCATTTTTAGCCACTTACATTATCCTTTCACTCATATTTTATATGGATCCGAATTTTTCCTTATTATTTCAATTACTCGTTTTCTTATCTTGTTTTTGGAATTATGAGGATAATAAGAAGTAGATAATTTAGACCTTTGATCATTAATCTTTTTTACTAGTAATAGGGATCACATCACTAGTGTAATGTGATAGGTTGTCACGTCTCTTTGCAAGATAATAGCAAATAGACCATTTAAACACCAAAGTTAGAAGTTTAAACTACTGAATAAGTTCAGAAGTCACATTATATTGTATAAATATGTAGTGAAGAGACAACTCAGATTATGCTATCACTGTGCTATTAATGTTTCACTGTTCCACAATAATTCTAACCGTTGAAACTAACTTCTTAGAAACTGCTCCCAGAAAAAGACAACATGCTCTGTACTGAGAATAGTCAAAGAAGTTGACATCATTTTTCTATGGCTGAAGAACACCTATGCATTCCATCTAAATACACTATTCCAGAATATTTAGATAAAGATCCATATGTTCATTGTCTCAACAATACTCAGTGGAGAACTTCAGTGTTCTGAGAACCATTCTCAAAGCAAGAGTCCATTGAAAGCTGCTTGTATGCTCTTCCTTCCATTCTAGTAGAGAATATAGACAGAAGGAGGGGCTATGCAATATAAGGGTAAGTGCTCTGAAGCAAAGCAATGTGGAGAGGAGAGTGAGACCGGTAATTTTCCATTTTAGAAAATTTAGATAAATATTTTCCAGGATAATTAGAGAAAGCATCTTTAAGGAAAAGACATTGGAGCAACAATCTGAATGTGAATATCTAGGGAAAGAGCATGCCAGGAAGACATAAGAGCATGCCCCAAGGTCCTGAAGCAGGATGTTACAAAGAAATGCCAAGGAATAAACCAGACTAATGCTAATTAAAAATA